CATATCATGTAAAAATACTCCCGCTGTCTAGTGATCACACTGTCTGTCTCTTTCAAAAGTTTGGAAGTGCCATGGGAATGTCCAATAAATGTGCAAATATATGGGTTTTTTTGTTTCGAATTATTACAGTTGTCATGCCAATAGCGTCTGCTCTACTGGTTATGTGCAATGCATTGGGCCATTTTCTGACCCCTAACAGTCACCCCCCAGCTGCATTACCTGATTGCTGTTAGTTGCATCTCAAATCAAAGTTGCATGGGCTCCTGAGTTTTGGCTTTCAGGCTTGAGCACCAAACTGTGTTGTTGCTCATGAACGTATGTTGTATCTCCATTTCACCGTGCTTGGAGCAACCACGTTTGCTAAGAAGTAGGGCTTTTAAAGCTCAAAATAAAATTGGTTGGAAACTGTTGGGCGGGAGCATGCTGCTAGAGCTTTATGTTGATTTATTTTGAAGAAAGAGTTGCATTTTCTGAATGGAGGAAGGAGTGTGGTTTGCAGGGCTTTGGGGAGTGTGTTTTGTAAGGCATGCATTTTTGAAACAGTTTCCTGATCCTCAGTCTAGAATAAAATGTGGTCACCCACCAAACTTTTAAAGTTTCAAGATTGTGACGTTAGCAAGTGGGAGAAGGTTGTGGCTATAGATCCAAAGAAGTTGTACGTTATTAATCTAATCAAGCATTTCTTTAGAATTGTCCTGATCTTCAGTCTGACACGCATAGATGATTTGTGTTATGACAACACACAACCTCCCAGTGTGAAATCTGAGTTTGACCAGCTGCTTTCTCCACTGTGCTTTATTGACTCATGGACTGGCCAACTGTGATCTTGGGGCTGGAGAACCACTGGAAAAAACTTGTGTAGAGCCACTCAAAAATGCTAACCTGGCTTTCAAAACTAGACAAACAGCAAAAGCCGAGATCTTTCTCTATTATTTTTATTTTTTTAACTAAAAAAAGAAATCACAGGTAATTTTTCCAGTCACTTGCCGTTAATCCTCAGTAATGTATTTTTACGAGGGAGAGAAAAACTGGTTTAAAGATAGGAGGGGGAATGATGCTTCCAAACTTTGGAACAGTTGTGATTTTTCTGTTTTCCTAAGCCTGCCTTCCTGTAGCCTGTCCACCACCTAATCTATTTGTTACCTACCTCGTAATTCCCATTTTAGATGGGACTTCCCCATTTTGGCCCATTGGTTTCCTCCTACCACCTTCTAAGTTGTCCCACATTCTGTTTTAACTTTCTTTTCTTTCTTTATTTACGTCCATTACAGCCAGATCTCTATGGCTCACAGATGTGCACAGGGAAGCTCCCAGAGGTGCGTCACAGGCCCAAAAGAATCTTGCATCAAAATGCTTCTTTGAGATGTCATAGCACTGCAGCAGCAGGTTGATGTGTGTGCAGTAGATTTGTTGCTTGGCTTATCCCACTTTTTTTTCATTAATCCTAAACTTTGGAGGCCCATGTCACACATTGTTTTGTGGAGAACTTCTTAGGAAGAAGCTATATTAAAGTGTTTACCTAGATTGGGGCGGCACCAAGGCTAAGTTTAAATGTGCTTCAGGTGTAGTTTTTCATTCAGTAAGCCCTACAATTCGCTGGTAGGTGTTGGCTGTGCAGTAAATGGGGAAAATTACAGGCTTTCAAATTTAGGAAATTATACTGGATATTTAAAGCAATTTTTCATCAATATAATTTCAATGCAGAGCTGCGGCTTTCAATGATTGGATCAATTTTCAAATGCCACCCTCACTTGTAAGATGTCTGAGAATTCATGCAAGGCTTTGGCGCACTCAGCCTGTTTTCTGAGTCCCTGGTTTCTGTATATTTACAGTAGAGAACCTACAGAGCTACAGGAGGTCAGAAAAGAGACATTCTTAGCAGCAGTGGTACAACTCAATGTTAGGATTTTGAGAATTTAAATGCAGATTCTTAACCCCGCAGTGTTCCCTGGTATGCTGAAAATTAATTGTATCAGGGTGGGGTTTACCTTTTAATCAGACAGCAGTGATCATTTCAGCAAAATGTATTTGCGTTACTAAGCATTAAAAATCCAGTGTAAAGCTCCTAAAATACACTGTGTTGTCCACAAATATAGAATAGTCTTGTTATGTCTGCACTGAATCACCAGGAAAACAAGCTAAGCCTTAAATCATTATTCCATGGAAGAGCAGAGTTGATTTAAAGATGAGTTTCATGCACTTTTTTTCCTATCACAGTCATAACTTTCTTTTCTTTTTAAAGTTGGATCCTGGTTTTAGCTCTATATTTTGATAGAGAAGAGAATGATTGCATCTAATGTATAAGCTACTAATTTTAATTGTAAGGTGTCAATCAAAATTTCTGAAAGTAATCTTACAGGTAGCATGGGATCTTGGTAAAGATCTGTGAGGCTGGGGCTGTTAAATACTCTAAATCCACATTGTTTCCACTTGACATCTACAGGGCATTCCAGAGCAGTGGGCCAGGCTACTACAGACCTCCAACATAACAAAACTGGAGCAGAAGAAGAACCCACAAGCTGTTCTAGATGTTCTCAAATTTTATGATTCCAAAGAAACAGTAAACAACCAGAAATATATGAGCTTTACGTCAGGAGGTAAGTCGATACCTCACTGTGAAAAAGGGAGTGTCAGGCCCCAAGATGAGTCAGACCGAAGTTCAACATTCAAGTGCTCAAGAAGCATCCTTAAAAAATTCCACTTTATGGAATACACCCAAAATGAATTATATTTCTGCTTTTGTCCCCTAAATGTCATTGAAACTGTGACTTTTCTTTGTCGCTTGGTTTTAGAACGAAGTAAGATACTAGATGGAACAATCACTACCGTTTTTAGTCAGAAGCCTTAGCGGCCAAAGGTCACGTTTACTTTTGTTTCTTCGCGTCTTTGTTCCTTCACAGTGTTCAGATTGGGGTATGGGATATACTTGTTTCGTGCATTTTATGAGTTACTGTTGGATCCTCTGAACAATAGGTTACGGACTATGAAGATTTTTTGTGATAACTTTGTGATAGAGGAGAATTTTCAAGCATTTCCTTGCGTTAGCTGTAGAGAAGATTAGGTTGCTATGCATAAATTCACAAACAAACCTAGACTGGCTGCTATTGTGATGTAAAAGGAATGTCGCCACCGAGGCTGAGAAGGAAGGCATCAGTGTCCAGAGCAATCTCCACAGCATGCTCATTCCAGGAAGATCCTCATGATTTAGGCATTACCATCCAAAAGCCTGCAAATGTGATGGGGGTGTCATTTTTTCCCTTGGTTGTGTACAGTCTGCAAAATTGTAGTGTAGCATTGCAAAAATGAGAGAGCGCAAGTCTGTGCCGCAGTTTGCTTTTTTTTTTGGCCCATTCTTTCTTTTTTTTTTGCCTGACAAACTCTGGCTGGCGTCACATCTAGCAAGTAAGCAGAGGTTTTTACTAGGTGCAGCATATCTGGCTTTTGTATCGATGTGTTCTTTTGCTGTTCCTTAATAACTGAGTTGATTTTTAAACAAAAATGGTAAGCTCATGTCAACAGCTTCAGCTAATAAAGGGGTGTCTCTATCCAACAGGGTGCGGACAGCATTTGTAATTTAACCTGCGGT